TAAAAAGCAGAGACATCACCTTGCCAACAAAAGTCCGAATAGTCAAAGCTATGGTTTTTCCTGGCGTGATGTATGGAAGTGAGAGCTGGACCATAAAGAAAGCAGACCGCCGAAGAATTGATGCCTTTGAATTGTGGTGCTGGAGGAGACTCTTGAGGGTCCCCTGGACTGCAAAGAGAACAAACCTATCCATCTTGAAGGAAATCAATCTCGAGTGCTCACTGGAAGGGCAGATCTTGAGGCTGAGGCTCAAATACTTTGGGCATCTCATGAGGAGAGAAGGCTCCCTGGAAAAGGCCCTGATGTTGGGAAAGTGTGAAGGCAGGAGGAGAAGGGGATGACAGAGGATGAGATGGTTGGACAGTGTCATCGAAGCAACCCACATGAATTTAACCCAACTCCGGGAGGCAGTGGAAGATAGGAGGGCCTGGCATGCTCTGGTTCATGGGGTCACGAAGAGTCGGACATGACTTAATGATTAACCAACAACAACAAATCATGAGCAATTGTGTATCCTTCAGGATTGGTCTGTGAGCTGCCTTGGCCTCTTTACTGTGATATTTTATCAGCAGGTTTTGTCAAGATTCCATCTGTGAATACAGTGGCTATCTGGCATCTGCCTTAAAATACTCCCCATGGCAGTTGCCTCCATATGGCAAACAATTTGCCTGCAGCATATCATTTCAGTGGAAAGGCATCCTGCCATTTCACAACCACATAGCTACAATTTAGGTCTGTCACAGGCATTTCATGCTTCAAAAGCAGATACCTGTGATCAGGTACTATGTGAATACCTCCTTCTATAACTTCACCTGGCACTGATCAGTTTGTTTGTACTGACCCACAATATGGGCAAGCATACACACTGACAAGACTGTTTTTCCATGGAGCAGAAATATGTTTTTGACTGATGACACCACAATTTGCAAGAGAACAGTATGGAACATTACTCAATGGTATCTGTATTCTAGCTATATTCTGAACTGAATGCCACATGCTCTGTCCGAATTATTTTCTAATTTAGGTCATAATCTGAGGACGAAACTAGATAATATGTTTATGACTTTTTTCTTTGTTTCTTTCTTCGCAGCAGAGGTGCTCCCCAAGTGGTGAAAGATGCCAGTTGGTCATAGCAAAAGCTTTTCTTCACCACCATGACTTGCATTTAGTGTGCTTTGTTTTGTGGTAAATCACTGGAAATTAAACATGGGCTTAATTTTCAAGTTTGATTGCAGAGCACCTATCGGTGAGAATTCCTGTTGTGGAACAAAATTTGTTGTCAAGAATGTATATCTTCCTTATTGTACAGTTCGACCCACTGTCAGAAAAATTCTTAGCCATGTTCCTTTCTCACAAAACAGGTTTGGTGGCACCAGTTGCAACAACAATGAAGAGGAGAATTGGCTTGATAACCTTCCTTTGACCCTTTCCCTCATTTTCTTTTCTATGTTGAGATCCTAGGAGCCACTGAAACTGGCAGGGTGGCCAAGGTTAGATATGCATCTGACAGCTGATCTTTGGATGGTTCACAATCAACTTTCAAGCCTTTCTGATCCTAACTGCTTAAAAACAGTAACAACAAAAAGGCTCTCCCCAGCTCTTCCCCTATTATACTTCTGAGCAAAAGAACAAAACTTGGCATAACCAGGAACCAATTTTTCAGTGAAAGGACTAACAAACAGAATTTCAAGATTGTATCATTGGTGTCAGGCTTTAAATAGTGGGTCTTGGCATCAGACTTAAAAACACACAGAGATGAATAAAATAGATGCTACTAGTATAAATGCCTGTTTCTTCCTGGTCTTTGCCCTCTGAAATGCTAAAGTTTTAAATAGTGGACTGCTGAAAACCAGAAATGTTTCAAATCTCTTTACAGGTCCCCTGATTCAGTACCATTGTAATCCATGCTATTGCTATGCCAAGTAGTGAGAGGGAAAGGGGCAGTAAAATATGTCGGCGCAGGGACCATTCAGAAATTCTAGTGTTGCCCTAATTAGGATGGCAATAAGATTCCCCAGTCTTTGGGGGAAATAGTTCCATTTATCAAAAATGTAATACAGACCTGATTCATAAAATCAAGAAGAACTGATTTAGCTAAAAAACAAAACAAAATAAAAAAGTGTTGCTCATACACTGCCCCATAGCACTTAAAGCACTCTCTGGGCGGTTTACAAGTTAATTATGCAGGCTACACATTGCCCCCCCCCAAGCGAGCTGGGTACTCATTTTACTGACCTCGGAAGGATAGAAGGCTGAGTCAACCTTGAGCCGCTACCTGGGATTGAACCCCAGGTCGTGAGCACAGATTTGGCTGCCCACTGTGCCACGAGACTCCTTAGGATATAATTAATTGATTAAAGCAGCTCACATTTCTCAAAAAACACTATTCACTCTTCTGTAGAAGAGTACATGCCAACACATATTTGTGTACTAAGACTGCAGAGCAGATAAAAAGCATGGTTGCAAGAGGCAGGGGGGCAGGATTCTGATGCAAAAACAGGGAGTGCAAATGCAGTTGTGCAAGTGTTCCCCCAGCTCCAGTAGGCTACCTGCTGTGTGCCTATTCTCACTGGTTATGAGACTGGTTACATGACCAGTCACACAAAGGGAAGCTCAGTGGAGCGAGGGGGACACTGACGTAATTGCCCTTCTAATTACTTTGTTTTTGCAAGGTATAGCACACCATCTTCAGAGCCAAAAGAGAAATTTAGATAGCAATCCCTGACACACAACAATTTAGAGAAAATATTCTTCGATGAGATGAGAAAGCAAAACAAAACAAAAGAGAAGCATCAACGAAAAGTAATCAAACAAATGAAAACCAATGCAATGCTGTCCAGAAGAAGACATTGTAGAAACATAGGGCTAGTTCAATCATCACAACAGCATCAACCCCGTGCCTTCAGGAGCACATGGAGCCACAGCTGGGCCCCCATAACTGGTTATTTTTCCATATTATTTATACAGGAAAATACAATGATTTACATAATTGTGAAACATTCTGCAGCTACTGTGTGATTTGACCCATCCTTCAGAACTACTTATGAACACAAGTTCCCACAAAGGATGCTCTGATCCATGGTGCAGTTTGGTCATAAAGCCTTTTATGGCTCTGCACACTCCAAAAACTTGGGGAAGTCACAGTGTGTGAACCAATACTTTTCATGATCCTTGAAGATCTAGAGAAATAAGAGTGATAGAAGACGCAGGCCTCCATAGGAAAAAAAAATACCTGTTTAAGTTGTGTCTCAGAGTTTACGTGCACATCACAAATTTCACAGTGAAATGTTTTGTTCTGAAGTCCCGTGTTTCCTTTGTTAATGGGTCCTTTCCCTTTGACGCCAGCTCTGGGGAAGGCTTTGATAGTTCCACTCCCGTTTCGCGCTTCTAGCATAGTTTTGTGCTTTGTGCCTGGAGATGATAGACAAGGGAAAGGAAAATCATTTTAGCACATTGTGCATATTAAATCTTCATCTCTTTAGATGTGCCATTTATTTTGTCCCATGTAAAAAAACAAGCCAAAATCCAATTGTTAGGGCTGATTACAACAGACACATTGAATCTATGGGATGTACAAAATGATGATTTACTAAACTCTCATTACTTCAATGATATAATCCAGCTGGGCACAGACCTCAGTCTGCACTGTCTGTTTCTTAGGACAATAATAAGAAATTACATATAAATAATATTTCATTCCTCTCATTTTGTTATTTAATGATGCTCATGTATGTACTAAGTAAACTGTCATCAATACATAGGGGCATCATAAAGGAGGCATGAAGTAATGTTAATGGATGGCTTATCTTTATGGCCATTAGTTAATTTTTGAGTTGTGTTTTACACCCAAAGATCACAGTAAATGGCACCAGTTACCTTGGTTTCCTCAACAGGAAAACCCTCTTGGAATTCAGGGTATCTTTACTATCAGTTCTCACTTTTCAAAGGAGGGCATGTGGTTTTTCTCATGGTCTTTTAAACAAATCAGGAGGGAGAGAAGAAATCATGCACTGTGGCATTCAAAACCGCCTCGAGAATCTGAAATTCTCAAATTGTTTTGCTAGCAGAAAAACTCCTGGGATATTTTGGCCAGCATCAAATTTCAAACTTCTTTCTTTCTTTGGTTTGTATTGATTATTGTATTATGTAATCATGGAATATTCTAGTACCTGTTTTGTTGATGCAATAACATTTTCTAAGCATAGAAGATATAAAATTATTTGAAAATGGTTGTCGTGATTATTTATTTATAGACTGACCAAGCAACCAAGATACATTCAGATGTATAGCGAAACAGGTATATCCGCTAATTTTATTCTATTTTATTAATTTAAGTATCAGGAACCAGCAAAGTAATTTGTGAAATTAAGTCAAATGAAAAGATACTGAACTTGTTTGTGTGTGTGTTTGCTACAGAATATGTCAGGCAGTCTGGGAATCAGAAGTTATGCACTCCCAAATTTTGGTGTGAGCACCCCTCCTTTCTACTCAGGCCATAGGCTACCTATGAGAGTCAGGCAGGTAGTGAAATCTTTTCAGAGGGCCTTCTCAAACACAACACAGAAAACATTTAATCCAGACTATATCACTTAGTGAATGCTGTTAGTAAGAAAAAAAATTAAAAATTATATAGGCATTTTTGCCAATTAATGTCTTCACTTGATTTTCTGACATGAGAAAAAGAAAAACCAATTTAATTGTCACTTATGAAGACTAGATTAATTCTACTCAGCCATTTGTAATAGCTTGTGCTTTCTCTTTTCTGTACAACAATACCAATTAGTGTTCAGTTTTCTACTGGGAATAGATGGAAACATGCAAACCAGCATGAGAGCACATGAAGAGTCACCTTCTTCCATAATGCAACACTTGAAATAGTTAAAAAGCTGACATTTGAGGAATATGATCACTTGCATCAAGGAGTTGTCTTCTCTTTTAAAGACAGCTATTCTTCTGTCATTTTTATTCTTTAATAGTTAATTAATTCTGTGTAATTGCAGGTTTTTCTGCCCCCCCTCTTTCCCCCCTCACCCTGCTGCAAGAGATCTAATCTGTTCAAGTAAAGATAATTGCCAGGCTCTCTAGCGAGGAAAGAAAGTTTCTCTCTCTCACCACTGTTGTGTGCCTCCAACTGTGAGGCGGAGTTGACAGCAACCTTGCATAGTGAACAGTAAAGCAGCCGTTTGGCCTTTTCTTCCTCTGTCTCTCCTGAGGAGCAGGCATTGCTGCTGGTGACTGTTGTAGGGAGCTTTTCGACTTTTGGGGTGACTTCAGTCGTCATCACATTGCTTTTCCGAATTTCAACTGTCGTGGTGGTTGATATTGCTGGTGCCTCCGTTGTGTTGTCTGCTTTAGAAAGAGGAAAAGAGGCTGTTGTCAGTCATGCACATCCACAAAAACACATACGCACACATGAACTCCTTTTTAATCCAATATGGAATTTATAACTTGCAATGGAAAGTGCCTTTAAATAAAAAAGAGAAATGTCCAGAGAAAGGAGTTCAAGGCAAGAGTAATGTTATGTCAACTTCATAATGAAAACTTATGGCCACATGCTCTTGTATTCTATGTTTACTTTAAAAAAAACACTCCTGCCCTCAAGCCATATAGAGCTGCAACAGTACCTCCTCCCGAAACATTAACTGATTGTCTTTCTGAGAACAGGAGAAGAGAGAAATAATATTTCTGTATCTTTGTGCCCTCAGGGCAAGAGAGAACATTTTTTTAAAAAAATGAAGACTTCTAGCTGCACATTGTAGGAAGATGGAAATGATGATTTCAGTCCAAACACTTTTTGCAACCCCAGGTATATAATTTCAGTGAAACACATTTTAAATGTAAATGTGCTTTTAAAATGTGTTTTTAAAAGTATTTTTATATTTTAAATGTGCTTCACTGAAATCATACACCTTGGATTATAAAAAGTGTTTATAAGACTTCATCTTATAAAGATTTTTTAAAGGGGCTTTATGATGAAGCCTTTATGTCAGGATGATTATACTTTGTTGTTAAGTTCTCAAATAATCTAAACTGTGAAGGGGTGCTTGAACGTTGTTTTACTTTTTACTTAATGACAATGAAATTGTTCTTTTAAGAGTCAGTCTTAAATCTCAGTCAGTTACCAGACATCAATTTAGGAAACAGTCCAGAAGACTAAAGAATATCATGCCACCTCTAAGAGGTCAGGTTAACACAATCCAAAAATGCCTGTCACACAAAGAAACCATTCAGATGAGTGTGCATAAAAGAGTGTTAAAACACAAACACACAGATCTTTGTATTTTGAATACAAAGAAAAAAAAATAAAGATGAGACAAATCTTCACCACCAGCAGTGCTGCCCAAGATTTCTGGGAATTCCAGCCCAGGAACACCTGGATTACCCAAGTTACCAGGCACCAATTTATGAAACAGTCCGGAAGACTAAAGAGTATTATGCCACTTCTAAGAAGTAAAAAAAAATATCATAATGGAACAGGATGGTGACTGTTTTCAGGATGCTGAAAATATGCATTGAAATATATTCCTTTAAAACTGGAAATATGAGTAGGTTTCTTGTTAAGAGCAATGTACATTATTCACTAAAGGAAAGCCCCCTCTCATGCAAATCACCCAAAAGTAACCTGCTAAGCCAAATGTCACCTCCAACCAAGTCCCATGGCCTGCTTATTAACTTTCTGTTTCCGAGTATCAGGAACAGAACCTTGACTTTATACACAGCTGGTAGGTAGGATGCTTTCAGCCACAGCTTGTGTAAACTTGCACAAGTCAACTCAACTCATGAAGATTGTTCACAGAATCGAAAACAATTCTTAAATATTTCTGAGTGATGTTTATCATTTATCCTGAGTTTAATCCAAAAGTGCCGCATGAAAGTACAGATACTCATGCTTCAAAGTGCTCCACAGAACAGTATACAAATGGATCCCAAAGGGTCTTGTGCTGGGCTTTTCCTTGAGCTAATATAGCACAATGAGAAGGAACTAGGGTTGGTTCAAATCCCTACTGTACCTCCTGGGAGATGGAACGTTTTAAAATATCCAGTGTGTGTATCTACTGCAGCTGCCAGACTACCTAAAATGTCAGCAAACCAGGGGCATTACAAGGGGAAAAATTAGGAAAGTTAGCAAGAAAACAAGACGGACGGAGGTAAGAAACGTTATTCACTGTACAAGCCAGAATTGTTATAATCTTGCTATCTCCCTGAGTTATTTAAGCCTATGCTGAATCACTTTGTCCATTTCTTTTCCCTTCCTTATACTAGCTGGGCCACCAAGCAAGGCTCAGCCTCTAACACAAAAGGAAGCCAAAATGTAACGAGGCCCTTTTGAATCTGTAGAATGAAATCCTCTTTCATTGGGAAGGATATGAAAAAAGCCATAACTGTTTGGGGCTTTTAAAATTAGCTTCAAGAAAGGCCTTCAGAAACATACTCTAGGAAATATTCTACTACCAGAACAATGGAATAGATCCCTGTGTTTCTCTGGTAAGATCTAGGAGTATATTCAGTTTCTTGGTCTTTTCTTCATTCTGTGATCCTCCTTTTGGAATGTTTAGTCCTACTACTTCAACATCATTAAAGTGTAAGTTATCTTCCCATGCAGGGACACAATCAGCTGTAAGAACCCTAGATATTACACTTGCAGTATAATTAGAGTAGTCAGTCATGCTCTCTGGGGAAAAGCTGTGAAGTGAAGGAAAAGCAGGGTGAATAGACCATTTACTCCACTCTTAGAAACCCCTCCTGCCCTTTCTCATCCTTGTATTCTTAATTAACTAGTTTGGTTAACACAATCCAACACTTAAGAACATGTACCATGTAAGAAACCATTGAGATGAGTGTACAATAAAGAGCATTAAAACACAAACACACAGATCTTTGTATTTTGACTTACAAAGTGCAGGAAAAAATTAAAGATAAGACAAATCGTCAACACCAGCAGTGCTGCCCAAGATTTCTGGGAATTCGAAGCCAACACCACCTGGGTTACTCAAGGTTGGGAACCACTGTCATATAAGGACCCAACCTTTAATCTTGGGTTTTGGCCATGTAAACTCATGGGAACAAATAGCCATAAAAATTAAAATTATTAGCAATCTCACCAAAACATAAGTTTCAGTGAGACTGCTAATAATCTGCTCTATTGTTTTTAATTTAAGGAGTTTCAGTGAGATTGCTGTTCAATTCTATGTACAACTGTATTGGAGAAAACACATTGAACTTGATAGTTGGAAGTGTATAAGGCTGAATGTCATAATTAAGCATAACAATTAAGCTTAGCTGGATCAGGTCATGATCTATAACAACAACTGCATAACATATTTGACCTGCCACATATGACCCAATCTTGGATTCTGACTAATTGTCTTTAAATGAGAGTACAGGACACATCATTAGGTTATTTCATTTTAGCACTTCAAATCCTCTTAAGAGTGCTGGCCTATAATAAATAAATCCCACTGAAGTAATGGATAGTACAAAAAATACAAGACTGTGCTATTAATTCCATTAATTTGTATTTTTAAAATTCTGTCTAGTATGAGCAAAATGTTCCATGATTTTTCCTCTACAGAAAGCTAATAGAAATGAATAAGGGCTGCTTCAATATTAATGCAAATTGTACACCCCTCCCATTTTTTTCAGTAACTTTCTCAGGAGGGTTTTCAGGTACTTTGTGTCCAAAAATAATTGAAAAAATCTTTGTACTACCTTTCAAAACTTCAGATTTATTGTGTTCTGCTTTTATATGACAAATTTAAGTACAGTGGTGCCCCACTTGACAATGACCCCACTTGATGACGAAATCACTCAACAATGAGTTTTTTGCAATCGCTATAGTGATCGCAAAACAATGGTTTCAATGGGGTTTTTTTGCTTCACAATGATTTGGACCTTGCTTCGTGAACCGATTGTTCACTAGACGACGATTAAAAACAGCTGATCGGCAGTTCGCAAAATGGCTCCCCGCTGCTTTCCAGACCTATTTTCTCTACACAGGCATTGCAAAATGGCCACCCTATGGAGGATTTTCACTGGATGAGCAGGTATTTCCCCCATTGGAACGCATTGACCAGTTTTCAATGCATTCCAATGGGTTTTTTTTTCGCTTGACGACGATTTCGCTGTACAGCGATTTCGCTGGAACGCATTATCATTGTCAAGCAGGGCACCACTGTACTGTGAATGTATCTATGCTATAGATGTCAAACAAATAATTTTATCTGAGACATCATCATGGTTAACTGATTAAATATAAATAAATTTTCATATCAGTAAAGTCAAAGTATATGTGACCTTTTTAGGAAAATGAAGGAAGTGAGGTACTCTTTAAGAAATACTATTACTCCCCTCCCCCCAGGAAAGGTATATATTTTCCCCTTCAAATCCAAGTTTGAAGTTCTAGGGGCACAAAAAGACATTTTAAAAAATAAGATAAAAATTTGCTTTTTACTAGATTAAATTTGCCCCATATTATTTTTTAAAAAAACACGTTTTCGATTGCCAAACCAATTAAATAAATTAAATTGAAAGCTCAACAGGTGCACTATATACATACAGACATTACTCACCCTTTATTAACTCATTTTGAAAATACTTTTCTTTTAGAGGAGCCAAAGTCAAGAAGTAAAGAAATATGTTCAGAATAATGTTTTGACTGAGAAAAACTTGCCAGATGCTACACCATTAAAGTCCTCTTGCTCCTGCCAGATCACATGTTTATATATAAAAGGGCTCCAAAATTCTACTCATATAAAATCTACACTTCAATAAAAACTTTCAGAACCTCTTCCTATTACGAAAGATAAAATCATGATTGGCACGTCAAGAATAGAAAGTCATCAAACTCAGTTTGACTTTAGCAACCAGAAGGTTAAGGACCGAAATACGCATTAAAATTTGTGTTCAGCTAGAAAATAACTGAATTCCTATTTTCCTCTTTACAGTATATGAAACCACCTTTCTTGGTTATTGATTCTTACACCATCAATACAAAGAAACCACCTTTCTTGGTTGCTGATTCAATGTCTTCAAATATATATGTATCTGAAACTGAAGCACACATCCATAACTTACTTATGTTTTGCTGTCTTATATCTGAACCTTCAGAGAAAATACAAGATCATCTGTCAGGAAGGCTCACAGAGAAAGCAGAAAAGACCACAAAACTTCGAAAGCTCTCCAGTTCAGCACTTTAATCTGAGAGCCGAGGTGAAACTAGGGGTGTGGCCTACCTATCTATTTTAAAGACCAGGCCCTGCCTATCTAATTGTTACTTTCCCTTGGTCTTGTTAATCATTCAGTTGTGTTAGAAAACTATACAAATGTCTGAAGACATATATTCAGAAAAC